CCTATCCCTAGATCTACCACGTCAAAAGCTCAGGGATGGGCCCAGAAATTTGTATTGTAATAAGCCTCCAGGTAGATCTGATGTACACATGAGATTTTTTTCATATATGAAGTTGAAAAGGCTATTCAACTGGAGGGAACAATTTTACCTGCCATGACAATGAACTTTTAGATCTGGAACTGGTATATCAGAAACATGCAGCCAGTAAACAAAAGAAACCCTCCTAAGAATAAAGCAGTAGGCATTTTGGCTCAAACCTATTGGAAGTTAAAACAATAACGACCGAACAAAGCATAGGTTTAGTACGTGGCATTTACAGGCTGAATCACCCTTCATCAGCCCTGGGAGAAAGAGCAAACATCTGACTTGGCCTCTCAGACAGACGTAAAACTCAGTGGAGTGTTTATTTTCTGCAAGAATTTTAAAATACTAGTTTGATACCAAAAACGCCTTCACACCCAAGTGCATCTCTTCTAAGCCATGACCTGCAGGCATGGCTTAGAAGCCCTCAACAAACACCTGCAAGGATTTGGAAACTCCTTGTCATATGTCATTCCAAGTTTTGTGTACAGTTTTCTGGAACCGGTTACTGAACTGATTGTCCCAACAAACCAGAAGATGTGACATCACCAGACTCAGTTTCTGATAAGCAGGATGAGTTGGAAGTTATATAAAGGAGAAATATAATGTATGTATATATGCATATGTTTACGTAAATTAATTCAGGAAGAAAAACCCTTAAATGGCACACTGTGTATGTCACAATAGTAATCTTAAATCTTTTCTCCTGCTTGATGCAAAACCCTGCAAGCATAGTTAATACTTATTAACACTGAATACTTATTAATACTTAACACAATAAGTATTATATTAACTATGACTACTCACTATGTTTAAATCTCTGTAACGGCTGGGTGAGGTGTCTCATGCCTGAAATTCCAGCACTTTGGGGGACCAAGGCAGGAGGATTGCTTGAGCCCAGGAGTTCAAGACTAGCCTGGGCAACATAGTGAGACCTCATCTCTAAAAAAAAAGCAAAACAAAAATTAGTAAGGTGTGGTGGCATGGTGGCATGTATCTATAGTCCCTATAGTCCTGGGAAGCTGAGGTGGAAGCATATTGCCTGAATCCAGAAGGTCAAGGCTGTGGTGAGCCATGATCATGCTGTGCACTACTGGGGAACAGTGAGACCCCCAACTCAAAAAACAAAAGAAAACACAAAAATTAAAAAGAAACCTCTGTAACATGGCAGGAATGTTTGCTACATTGAGATTTAGTGAAACCTTCTGACATTAATGGGACTCCTGGGTACACTTTACTAGGGACATAATTATATGCCCTGACTGCAGCAGTACGCCAGCTGATACATTTTGGCGAAGTTTTTTTGTTTGTTTGTCTGTTTGTTTTTGAGTTGGAGTTTCACTCTGTCGCCCAGACTGGAGTGCAGTGGCTGCTCCCGGACACCACAACCTCGACCTGCTGGGCTCTGGTGATCCTTCCGCCTCAGTCTTCCAAGTAGCCGGAACTACAAATGCGCACTACCATGCCCTGCTAATTTTTGATTTATTGTAGAGATGAAGTCTCGCCAAGTTGCCCAGGTGGGTCTCGAACCCGCGCGCTCAGGCAATCCACTCGCCTTGGTCTCCCAAATTGCTGGGATTACAGGCTGAGCCACCGAGCCTGGCATTGGTGGAGTTTTTATTACTCTGCCCTGTGTTCTGAGGCTAAGCATAACATTCAGTGTGAAATCAGTCCTGGGGCATGGCATAATTGACCTCATGTACATGACTGATCTCCCCTCTCCATGGTCTCAGATCTAGAGAGTTTCAGCATCTTGGTCGTGTCCACATCTCTGGACACTGAACAAGGAACACAGAGCCTTTTATTTATCAGAGAAAAGTTTACTGAATCTACCCTATTCTTACAGTTGTATAATGGACAGTTGGATATTTGGAAAATGTTCAAAGATCCACTGGCTTGTTTTCATACAGAGTTTGGTATCACGTGTGTGTGTGTGTGTGTGTGTGTGTGTGTGTGTGTGTGTGTGTGTGTGTGCGTGCGTGTGTGTGTGTGCGCGCGCGCGCGCGTGCGTGTGTGTGTGTGTGTGTGTGTGTATTAAGCAGCCATTGCAGACAATATCAAAATAAATAAGATTCATTAAATTAATTAGTATGGACTACACAAAATCCAACTTAGATAATTATCCTATTTTGAAAAGGTAGAAATAAATCTTGGAAAAAGCATCTTCACCATCACAAATTTTCCACTTCCACATTTTTTCAATCTGAATATATTCAAGAACAATTAGTCCTAAGGCTATCTTTAGTTACATTTATTGCAAGTTAAATACTGTTTTTATTTTTATATACCACTGCTGAAAATTGTCTGGATTTTACATTGTCACCCTTCCTTCCTCTCCCACCTTTTCTTTTTTAAATTTTGAGTCAGGCGGGGTCTTACCGTTGCTCAGGCTGGAGTGCAGTGATATGATCACGATGATCATGGGCTCACAGCAGTCTTGACCTCCTGGGCTCAGGCATTCCTTCTGACTCAGCCTCCCAAGTAGCTACGACTACAGGTGCATGCCATCATATCTGGCCAATTATTATTATTTTATTTTTATTTTTATTTTTATAGAGATGAGGTTTTGCTGTCTTGCCCAGGCTGGTCTCAGACTTGTAAGCTCAAGCAATTTTGCTACCTTAGCCTCCCAAAGTACTAAGATTATAGGCATGAGCCACTGCGCCTGGCCCTTTCCCCTCCTTTTAAACATTTAGGTTTTTCTTTGAAGCTGGAGTGCTTAAAATGAGTTTAAATTTGTTGTTTGAGCTATAAGAGCTTCAAATCCCTAGTATGCAAATTTATGACTGTAAACTCTTAAGTGTCTGCAGGAAAAGACCTAGGAAATATAATAATCAGACTCCCTTATGTATGCTCCATCTCAGGAACTTTTTAGAGGTAAACACAAAACAAGGTACCTACCAAAATGCACTGCTTCTAAAAAGGCAGGACCAGCTCTTTCCTCCGGAAGGAGGCAGAAGCTTTCTTCCCAGTGTGCCTTGACATGTCCCCTTGTGGTGACTTCTCAGTGTCTCTGAAGTAACCTGAGGATACGCCTGCAGGTGGTGACCCTGGGAAAGCCTGGGCCAGGTTGCGAACACTCTTTAGAAAAAGAGGACTCTCTCCAGGTGCTCCAGGTGGGAGTGTGAGCACCTGTGTCCATCTCCCCTCGTCTGAGAGGATGGCCCACAGAAAGCTGCCCTGACACTCTCAGGTTGGGAATATTGACAAAAGTTCTCTCCTCAAACCCATCCTGGCCCTTCTGGAGTCCCATTGTAGAGGAAGCAGTGAAAACAGCAGCATTAGCCATTTTTCATCACTGAACAATTGGCTCATTCAAACTCCGTTCTCAATCTACAAGACACAATTGTGCATGACTGAGATATGGGCAGAAATATGCTAAATTCTCATTTCACAAGGGAAACTCACAGTTCCTGGAGTGGCAATCATTATTCCCCAAAACATGAAAACTCTACCACATTCTAGAATTTTCACTTTGAGAAATTTAACATGAAACTATCATTTCTAAAGATCTCATAGAAAATGTGTGTATACGTGTGTGTTTAAAGCTTCTGATCAAATGTCTTTGCTTAAGACTAAAACTAATTAAGACTAGTCTAACATATTTAAAATAAAACTATCTAATGCTTTGCACCAATCAGCACAATGAAAATATCCTACCCTGTGTCTGATGTGTATTTGTAAAATGCACAAATATAGCCAGGTACAGTGGTTCACACCAGTAATCTCAGCATTTTGGGAGGTCAAGGTAGAAGGGTAGCTTCAGCCCAGGAGTTCGAGACCAGCCTTGGTAACATAGTGTGCCCTCATTTCTACAAAAATTCAAAAAAATTAGCTGTGTGTGGTAGTGTGTGTCTGTAGTTCCAGTTACTTGAGAGGCTGAGGTGGGAGGATCTCCTGAGCCCAGGATGTTGAGGCTGTGGTGAGCCGTGATGGTGCCACTGTGTCCCAGCCTGGATGACAAAGACCCTGAATAAAAAAAAAAAGCACAAATGCAATAGCAAAACCTTTTAAGATGTAAAAGCTCAAAACAAAGCTAGTACCTAGTATTCCTCACACCCTAGGAATGCATATTTTTAAATAGTTAAATAAAGTTAGGTCAGGTTCAGTGGCTCTGGGAGGCTGAGGTGAATGGATTGCCTGAGCCCGTGGGTTTGAGACCAGCCTGAGGAACTTGGCAAGTCCTCTGCAATAAATCAAAAATTATCCGGGTGTGGTAGTGCATGCCTGTATTTCCAGCTACTTGGAAGGCTGAGGCAGGAGGATTGCAAGAGCCCAGCAGGTTGACGCTGGGGTGGCTGTGAGCATGCCACTGCACTCTAGCCCAGGTGACAGAGTGAGATTCTAACTCAAAAAATAAAAAATAAAGTTAGTGCTGTGAATTAATAGTTTATTCTTTTATTCCTATAAATGAATCATGTTGCATTTCAGATGGAAACCTGGCTTGTTTACTGATTTTAGATCTGTGTGGTTATTTTTTGAGAGTCACATAGAACCAGAACAAAGCTCATGACAACTATGTGTCACTGTCTTTTAAGCACTTGACTTTGGAGAAATCTTAATTTTCACAATTGAAAACAACTAAAATCAGAGAGAATGAATTGCCATCATCAGTGCTGCTGAGAGAACAAACTCTCAATGTGACGTCGCGTGCATTTTAGGACAGGTAGAATTCTAGACTTCTATAACAGGATAACAGGTCCAGGGTCCCTTCAAGATTTAGAGGGGACCCACACATTCCCCTCCATCCTAGCACTCTGCCAGATGTAGACCAGCTTCCCAGGCAAGTCAGCCCAGAGAGACTGCAGATACACAAATGCCTGGTCACAAGGTGAGCATGACCGTTTCACCTTCCATGAATTCTCCTCAAGGTACAACGGTCACCTTCTAGGGGAGAAAGTCACGCACTCTGCAAGGAAGGATACAGAACAGAAAAGTTTATTTTACACTATCCGTCCAAGAAAACAATTGCCATAAACCAGTGCAAAATGTGCAACAGAATCAATAAGAGTGTCTTAGCTCTGAGAGCCCAAACTGGCAATCTCCCCTCCTGTTCCCTGGGGAGCGGGCGCCCCATCCATTAATGTTGACCTCGGTTTGCACCGCAGACAGAAACATTCAACCAATTTGTCAAGGTTATTTTTACGAGTCATACAAGAGATGGGGAAAACCATACCGAATGAATGAATAAGTGATCAGTGCTTAAAGTAAATACAGGGGGACAGCACGGGCAAGAATCCACAGTTTCAATAAATACAGTGTAACAAGCATGGGTGTGTCTCAACTTGGAATTAGTCTGCGGAATAGCTCAGCATCATACAAAATCTAGCAGGGCTGTTGAGCAGTGATTGGCAAAAATGTCCACAATAACTTATGCCCTTGAGCGAGTCTGCGTTGAACACATTCTGTGGTTTCCAAGATGTCAGTTCTGTTTTCTCCTTCCCTGGCCGTCCCTCCAGGAGGGGAGGCGTGCAGCTGGGGTGACATGGCTGTGGCGTCCTGTGAGCAAGGATATCTGCCCAGGAGCCAGCTGTCGGGGTCCAGTGTACTCGATACCAAGTGGCAAATTGGGACTTGATCAACAATGTCTGTGCAAAGTATGCTTCTCTCCCTTCTCCAGGAAACCAGTGTCTGTAACTCCTGCATGATAAGCAGTGGTGGCCTCTGGGTCACTCCCTGTCACCCCAAATGCCAAGCAACAAGAGCACACCTCAGGGACTCACGAGTCGGGGAAGCTTCTGTCGGTGGTTGACTGCCTGGCACCTTGCGGATGGGTAGGTTACCCAGGCCCCTTTGCCAGAGGCTTCAGGCAACCTAGAACTATTGCTTGAAAAACTAGAAAGAACCTAGTGAGAAAGAGATGGTCAAGCTGGATATGAGGGAAACCGTCTTCTTCCTCCAAAACCTTGCGCCCTCCAGATGACGCCCCCAGGACCTTGGCCAAGCGTCCTTGGTTATCAAATGTCATGCATTCTTGATGGCCTCGGCCAACATTCCTCTACTAAGCACTACATCCAGGCATACCCCAGTCCTCTTGGAAGTCAAGACCAGGAGACAGGTGGATATAGCCTTTGGGTCATCAACTAAACCAGAGCCCAGTGGAAGAGGATGCAAGAGAAGCTCTTGATCTCTGGAAGAAGAGGAATAAATGGGCAAAGCCCCCAAATAAAACAAACCCTAAACCCAGTCACCAAGGAATCACCTCTAAACAAGGTAAAATCCCAAACACTCCCTGGATCAACGGACCCCTCCTCTCGACTCCCTCCACAGCCTCAGGTCATAAATTAGGTTTCTTCCATCAAATAACTTAAAAAAGGAGGAGGGGCTGTCTTCAGTTTTGCCTGGCTCAGGCCAGTTAGCAGCCAGTTTTTCTAGAATCTCAGTCATTGTTCAAAAATGGAGCCTGAAAAGTCACGTGGATGTCGGACGTCTTCACATGGAGGAGTCGGGAAGGGGGTGGATGGGCAAGACCCCAGGAGGTGGGGGGGGCAAGGAGGCGGGTCAGGGAAGCCTGGGCCACCAGGAGTGGAGACCTGTGGGGACAGCTTGGGCCAGACGGAGGCCATGGCCCTGCGCCCGTATGACTCAGGGTGCGGCCGGGTCTCGTATTGCACAGAAAAGGAGTTGAGCCTCTGTGGGCGGCCGGTGGCTCAGTGGTCTCCGCACATGGGCAAGTTCACGAAGGTGAACACGTTGAACTCAGTCATGATGGAGAAGCACAGGAAAACGCCATACAGGAAGAGACACCCGTAGCCCAGCTTCTTGTCCAGCCGCCACTTGTTCAGGTGGACGCCGAACACCTGCAAGGCACAGAAGGATTCAGAGGACATGGGTGGAGGCAGTGATGGTGGGGGCCTGGAGAGGCCCAGGGGAAGGGCTGCCAGCACGGTAGACCTGGGTAGGGTGCTGATTCTTTCCTGTTGTGGAAGTAAGTGACTCCCGCCTGTAGTCCCAGCACTCTGGGAGGCGGAGGCAAGAGAACTGCTTGAACCCAGGAGCTTGAGACCAACCTGGGCAACATAGTGAGACCTCCTCTCTAAAAAAGTTTAAAAAATTAGCCAGGTGTGGTGGCGCGTTTCTCTAGTTCCAGTCACTCAGGAGGCTGAGGCAGGAGGATCCCCTGAGCCCAGGAGGTTGAGGCTGCGGTGAGCAGTGATTATACCATGTACTCCAGTCTGGGTGACAGAGTGAGACCCCCATCTCAAAAATAAATAAAAATTTAAAAAGGCAGGAAGTCAGAACCTACCGGTTTTGGGGAAATGATGTTGAAAAAATGTTAGGACTAATAAGCACAGTAATAGCAGCCAATATGCATCCCCTGGGCTCCCCACTCCCCCTCCCCCAATGTCCCTGTGGGTCCTTCACCTGCTCTGGCCCATTCCCACCTTGGCCTAAGCAGACCTCAGCTCAGCCCAGGAAATACTTCTCTGGCGATGGTGACCGTGTCCCTTCCCACACTATACCTGGAGGTGAGTTGCCCTTCCCCCGGCCCCCCATGGCTCCTTCCAACCCATTTTCCTTTTTTCCTCCCTGAACACCCAACTTGGAACCTCAGGTCTTCCAGCTACCCCTCTCTGTCCCTCCTGGTTGCAGTCAGCCCTACAACCCTGGTCACTGCCCATCCTCGGAGCTCTACGCCACAGCAGTCGCCGCCCTACTCTGTTGCCTTCCTGGCAACTGTCTGCGATTTCAACACCCTCGGAGAGGGTCTTCCCAAGTCCTCATTCCTCATCCTGCCTCAGCCACTTATGCCCACCAGCCACATGTTGCTGAAATGTAAATTTAAACAAACAAAAAAATTAAAACCACACTTCCACATTTTTTTTTGAGTTGGAGTCTCGCTCTGTCACCCAGACTGGAGTGCAGTGGCCACTTCTGGCCACCACAGCCTCCATCTACTGGGCTCCAGCGATCCTTTCGCCTCAGCCTTCCAAGTAGCTGGAACTACAGGCACACGCTACCATGTCTGGCTAATTTTTGATTTATTGTAGAGATGAGGTCTCGCCAAGTTGCCCAGACGGGTCTCGAATCCCGTGCTCAGACAATCCACTCACCTCAGCCTCCCAAAGGCACGGGATTATAGGCTGAGCCACCAAGCCCGGCTCACTTCCACATTTCAAGTGCCTCTCTCTGAGTCTGCAAAATTCACCTCTCTGTGGAAGGTAAGAACGTCCACATCAAGGAGACAGGAAGTCAGAACCTGCTGGTAATTTCAAGTGCTCCACCACAACCTGCAGCTGGTGCCTGCTCCCCAGTGCAGGTATGGGCCATTTCACTGTGGAGAGTTCTGTTGGACAGTGCTGGGGCCTAGAATGTGCTGTCACCAGGGAGCCACAGGAGCATCTGTGTGGTCTCGGTGTCACGCTTTCACTTTCTCACCTCAGGTTCTTTCCAGAGTACTGCCCTGGTTCCCCAGCCCCAATGGCTCTGCAAGCCCCATGGCGGGTGGTTCACTGACACCATTGCCGCTTCTCTGGGGTCATCCACCCATACCTCCTCTTCCCTCCTTACCCTGTTTCAATTCCATTAATAGAATCACTCCTGGTCATCTGCCTCAATTCCCTAACCTTCTCCTGGCTCAGCTCTCCTGGCTTTACCTATTTATATATTTATATTAGAGACAGGCTCTCACTGTCACCCAGGCTGGAGTGCAGTGATGCAATCATGACCTCCTGGGCTCAGGTGATCCTTTCGACTCAGCCTCCCAAGTAACTGGAACTGCAGGTGTGTGCCACTACACCTGGCTAATAAAAAAAAATTGTAGAGAAGAGGTCTCCCTACGTTGCCCAGGCTGATCTCGAATCCCCCCCCCCAACAGTGAGGACAGCTCTTATGAGTTCTAGATCCATCTTCCACCCTGCTTCAGGACTCGGCTCTAGCCATGCCCCTCTCCTCCAGATACACTCCATCCAGATTATTCTAATCAGTACCCAAGGATTTGTCATCTTTCTTGCCTGAAAATCACTTGTCTGAACGTCCATTTCTCTCCTGGCTTTACAGCCAGGGTATCTGAAAGACTGCGAGACCCACTAGCTGTCTCCAGTGTCTCTCCCTCCTTTCTCCATGAGATTTTTCACTCCAAACAAGCCTTGGCAAAAGCACCAACGGCTGCATTGCTAACTCCAGGAGCAACATTAGGGGCTTGCCTTACCTGTCCCAGCATTATCCCCATCTAAGACCTCTTCTCCACACAGCTTCCTGGGTCTCTGCCTGGTTGTCCCCCTACCTCTCCAGCTTTTCCTTCTCTTTCTCCTGCTGTTGCATTCTCATCCTCCTGACCTCTAAGTGTCCCAGAGCACCAAGGCCCAGGGCTTGGGTCCTTTCTCTTTTCTATCTACACTCACTCCCTTGGTGATCTCACCCAGTTGTAGGGCTTTAGGTAACATCAATACACCACTGTTTCCAGCTTGGACACATCTCCTGAACTCAGACTCATGTTTCCAAAGGCTGGCTTCCTTTCTTGTTTTTCTTTTTCCCTCCCTCCCTCCCTCTCTCTCTTAAGTCAAGATCTCATTCCGTCATCCTGACTGGAGTGCAGTGGCATGATTATGGCTCACTATTCCCACTCCTTGGCTCAAGCAATCTTTCTGTGCCAGCTCCTGAGTAGCTGGGACAACAGGCATGCGCCACCACAGTCAGCTAATTTTTTGATTTTGTGTAGAGATGAAATCTCGCTATGTTACCCAGGCTGGTCTTGAACTCCTGAACTTAGGTGATCCTCTGCCCCAACCTCCCAAAGTGCTGGGATTACAGGCATAAGCCACCATGCCAGGCTCAATGTTTATTTTTATTTTTTGAAAGCAGAATTTATTGAGAGGATAGAAAAACTCGCAGAGTGAGAGGGGACCTGAGGGGGTTGCCCTCAATACTTATTGATGTGAAAATTCAACAGCATATTTGTATGTTCATGGATGCTTCATGTGGGTTAGTCCATGTGCTAGTGTGAATTTGTTCCCACCAAACATGTCAGTTGATCTGGGAATATTAAATTACACAAATGACAGCTAAGATAGTGGGATGGCATAAAAGTGCACTGTCCCTCAAATACATTTTTAGTCTGTGTTAGTCACATCCATGATTTACAGTGACATTTACTAACCTAGAACAATTAATTGACTGACATCTATGTTCCCATGACTAATCTCACAAAGTGGGGTCTTCTCTTTGCTTTTGATAAAAGAGTTTCTGCTCAACACAAGACAGAGCCATGCTTCCGAGGGGAGCGTTGGCTTCTTTCAGAAAGAGAAGGGGTCCAGTGGGTTGCTGGGACTCACTGCTAGAAGACACGGCCAGGAGGTAGGACATCTGTAGGCCTACAGTCCCCGTTCACCAGGAGGCCAAGCCCATCTGGTCTCTGAAGACCCCCAGGGGAGAGAAGGACACACTAACTCAGGCATGCCAGGAGAGCCGTCAACCTACCGTGACAAAGACAGAGGCCAGGAGCAAGCCCACGGAGTAGATCAGTCCCCTGCTATTCAGCCGGATCTGCAAGAAAGGATGGAGTTAGGCTTCCACAGAGTCAGACTTGCAAAACAGAGTTTGGCTTCTGAAAAGGCATATGCTTAGTGCCGGGCACTTACACGACTCTGAGGGGCAGGGATTCCAGCTCTGTCCTCTAGGATGAAGACATGCAAGATGGCCTTGGCCGCTGTGTCTTGCAGCTCAGATTGCAGATGTGCACTCTCCTGGAGACCCAGGGCTTATCTGCATCCTCTCCACTCAGCCCTGTCTCCAGCAGTGGGGCTCCAGCCGGACCCTCCCACGGCTGCCTGACCTCTGCACCACAATGCCTGCCCAAGTCCAAGTGTTCCCTCACCTCCAGGGAGCTTTTGCTTTCTCAAATGCATACTGCTTTTAGGATGAACTGATGGCAGGGGTGAGGGAAACAGCTGAATACACTTTCACCCTCTTTCATCAACATATCTGTGTCCTTCTCTAACTTGATGGGAGGGGGTGGGTGAGGGTTGCTGCTGTGAGCTAGCAAAAAAGAGGAAAAAGTTAAAACTCCTTTTCTGATATTAGTAAAAGGATTTTTTTCTAAGAAGTTTGTTTTCATTTATTTTTTTGAGGCAGAGTCTCACTCTGTCACCCAAGGAGGGTACAGTGGCATGATTCTGGCTCACCACAGCCTTGACCTACTGGGCTCAGGGGATCCTTCTGCCTCAACCTCCCATGTAGCTGGGACTACTGGTGCACACCACCACACCCAGCTAATTTGTGTGTTTTTTTTAATAGATGAGGTCTTGCTCTATTGCCCGGGTTGGTCTTGAACTCAAGAGATTCTCCCTCCTTAGTGTCCCAAAGTGCTGGAATTATAAGCAGGAGCCACCGTGCCCAGTCAACAGCCACACTTTGAAGGAAAAAGCAATTTCTGGAGTTCCTACAGAACAGTGTTGCTCAGTAGAACTATCTTCAATGATGGAAACGTTCCATGTCTATGCTGTCCAATATGGCAGCCCCTGGGCACACGTGGCTGTTGAGCACTTAAAATATAGTTCATGCAACTGACAGACAAATTTTTTTTCTTTTTCTCTAGAGACAGGTGCTAGCTCTGTTTCCCAGGTTGGCATGCAGTGGCGTGATCATGGCTCCCTGCAGCCTGGAACTCCTGGGCTCAAGCAATCCTCTTGCCTCCACCTCCTGAGTAGTTGAGACCTTAGGCTTGTACTCTGTGCTGGGCCTTGAGGAATCAAGTTTTAATCTTGTATATTTAATTAAATTTGCATTTAAAGAACCGTGTGTGATCGGGACTACAGTACTGAGCAGAGCAGGCGGAGTGCTGAGGGGCTGGCTTGGCCACAAAGGCCATAGGGTTTCTTCCATAATGTGGAGAAGAGACTGCTCTGCCTCTGAGAAGGTGGTGAGGCCGTCAGCCCTGGCATCCAAGGGTTGCCTTAGAGCAGCGGTTCTCCGGTTCTTGAAGGGTGGGCCCGGGACCACGACCCACAGCAGAAAGAGCAATTGGGAGCTTATAGAATTTCAGGCCCTCTAGATCTCCTGAATCAGAGACTCTGGAGCAGGGCCCATCAATCTGGACATTAACTCTGGGTGATTTGATGCACAGGAAAGATTAACAGCCACTGATCTAGAGAAAGTACAAAGCCTAAACCGACTTCTGATCTCCAAGGATTCTGGGGATGGAAACTCCACATTCATTTTTCACCAGTTCTCACAGAAGCTCTCATGTGCATCCGGTTTTGAGGACTCCAGCCCTCCCAACCAATGAACGCTGTCCTGCGGGGAGCGAACAGCTCGCCTGTGCTCATGGAAAGGGAAAGTAAGGCTTGTTGTTTTGTACATCGTTTCATTGGAGGACTACGTGGTGACTGACTTCATTTCAGTCCAGCTGGTGGCTTAACTTCACACACAGCCTCATCCTGGCTGTGGAAACATTTTTCTCTTTTCAGAGCTGGGTTGGTATAAAAAGTCCAGTACTCAGGAGTGCATCAAGAATGTGTTATAGCCGGGCTTGGTGGCTCAGCCTGTAATCCCGCGCTTTGGGAGGCTGAGGTGAGTGGATTGCCTGAGCCCACGCGTTCAAGACCCGCCTGGGCAACTTGGCGAGACCTCATCTCTACAATAAATCAAAAAATCAGCCGGGCGTGGTAGCGCGCACCTGTAATTCCGGCTACCTGGAAGGCTGAGGCGGAAGGATCGCTGGAGCCCAGCAGGTCGAGGTTGCAGAGGCCAGGAGTGTGCCACTGTACTCTAGTCTGGGTGACAGAGTGAGACTCCAACTCAAAAAAACAAAAAAAAAAGAATATGTTGTACTGAAAGAGAGCGCCTCCCCCCAAACATTGTGTCCACACTGACTCTAAGATAATCCCATGTGCTCTGGTCAATGTGGAGGGGGAGAGGTGGGCTCCTCAGCACAAGATGGTGGCCCCTGAGAGTCAGGAAAGCCTACTGGGGCTGTCCTCAGTCACTTGGTCCTTGGATTGACCCTGAAGTTGTGAATCAACACTCAGAAATCTTTCTGAATTTTGAACTTTCAACACCACACATAGATTCTTCTAAGAATAGGGCAACATATTTTCAGTCCAGCTTGTCTCAGAGCTCTGGGGTCGAATCTTTGTCAGCAGCAAGAACTGAGTCAAGTGATTTCTTGCCCTTAAGAAACCAAGAGCCAGGGAGAGCAAAGCCCAAAGTAGGAAGCTTCTCTTTGGTCAAGTGCTTTCAAAATGAATCATGTTAAAACAAAGCTTCTGAACATTCTTCTTCCTATGTCCACACACAATCGCGACCAGTGCTGCTGAAACTCGGAATCTGACTCCAAAGACAGAAGACCGTGAGTTCTTCTGGGGGTCTCCAAGTATTTTCAGTTTCCTCACCTTTTTTTCTTTTCTTTTCTTTTCTTTTGAGTTGGAGTCTCACTCTGTCGCCCAGACTGGAGTGCAGTGGCCGCTCCTGGCCACCGCAGCCTCGACCTGCTGGGCTCCGGCGATCCTTCCGCCTCAGCCTTCCACGTAGCTGTAACTACAGGCGTGCGCTACCACGCCTGGCTGATTTTTTGATTTATTGTAGAGATGAGGTCTCACTGCCCAGGCGGGTCTCGAACCCGCGGGCTCAGGCAATCCACTCACCCTAGCCTCCCAAAGGCGCGGGATTACAGGCTGAGCCACCGAGCCCAGCCCTCACCTTTTTTTCTGCTGCCTTCTTCCTTTGGTCATGAACTCTACATATGCCCAAGGGTGGATTTTTGTGTTTTCACCATCAGAGACCCGGACTTTCAAAGCCTGTGTTTGTTGCCTGCATCTGACCTCCATGTGTCCACATGGATGTGGCAGTCAGCAATCAGGGCTTCCTCAGTTGCCTTCAGTCTGGCTTGAACATCTCCCAGCACTGAAGCTATGGATGGTTTGGGGCAGAGGTTGGCAGAACACAACCCATGGGCCAAATCTGGCCCATCGCCTGTTTTTGTAAGTGAAATTTTGTTGGAACTCAGATCATTTCCATCTTGTCTGCGGTTATTTTCTCACTACAATGACTAGGTTGAGTAGTTTTAACAGAAACTGTTAATATTTCCTCTCTGGCCCTTTATATACAAGGTTTGCCATTCCCTGGCTTAGAGCACAGGCTCCAGACCCAGCTTCCTGTGCTCTGAATCCCTGCTCAGTCACTCACCTGCTGTATCATCATGGACAAGTCACTTACCTCCCCTAAGCCTCAGTTTTCCTTTTTTCTTTTTTTTAGTTGGAGTCTCACTCAGTCGCCCAGAGTGGAGTGCAGTGGCCACTCCCAGAGTGGAGTGCAGTGGCCACTCCCGGCCACCGCAGCCTCGACCTGCTGGGCTCCGGCAATCCTTCCACCTCAGCCTTCCAAGTAGCCGGAACTATAGACGCGTGCTACCACGCCCAGCTAGTTTTTGATTTATTGTAGAGATGAGGTCTCGCCACGTTGCCCAGGTGGGTCTCGAACCCGCAGGCTCAGGCAATCCACTCACCTCGGCCTCCCAAAGTGCTGGGATTATAGGCTGAGCCACCGAGCCCGGCCAGCTTCAGTTTTCTGAAGAGTAAAATGAGACAGTTTCTGTATGATGGGTGCCTATGAAAATTTGCCAAATTAACCCACATTAAAACTTTTGAACAGGGTCCAATGTGTAATAAATTCTCAATAACTGGGGGCCATTATTTACTACCGATTGGTTGGGCCTACTTCCTGGCACCACTGACTATTGCTTTTATCAACCCATCACCAGATTACTACCACATCAGATTATACACACCATGAAAGCAGGGACCATGTCAGACTTTGCCCTCCATGTGGCACAGGGCTGGACACAGACCACATGCAATCAATGAACAGATGATGGATATCCATGAGGACTCATTCTGAAAGTGGTTTACGAGAAGGCCAGAGTTTCCATGGGAGCGGTGGGGCCTGGTCAGAGAGAGGCTGGAAGCGGAGAAACCCTGGATGCCACTTCCCGGATAATATTCCAAAGCAATGTGATCTCTGCCTGTCATTCTCTGTCTCCCTTCCCCACTTTGATTTTTTCTGATCATGTATTGCTTTTCTTTCTTTTTTTAACCCAGCGTACTATTATGAAAGTTTTCAAGCATTCAGGAAAATGGACATAATTATACTATCTTATTTTTTAATTAACTTCAAAGTAAGCTGCAGAGACTAGTACACTTCACCCAAGCACTCCTGCCTGCATCTCGTTAAGGAGAGTTCAGCTGGAGTTCATGGGTCTTTTACTCTTAGATGCAGTGTTTATATGGTAAAACTCACAAATCAAAATCGCACCATTTAGTGGGTTCTGAGCAATACGTATACCATTGCATCTCAAACTCTCATGACACAGAGCACTTCCATCATTCCAGAAAGTTCTCTTGTGCCCTCCCCTGCCAGACTCCCCAGGAGACTAACTGCTCTAAGTTTCTGCACTGTAGGGTGGTTTAGCCCATTCTGGAACTTCATAAAAATGGAATCCTCCAGCGTGTATTCTTTGATGCAACCATCCTTCCATTCCACATCATGCT